AACATTGCTGCTTTATTTCAAAGGAGTCAATTGTGGATTGACTCATGCAACATGATCTTTGACAGTAGGTGACAGTTTGCAAATGAGTTCTTGGATGAGTTCATGCTTTAACAGCACTATCGATATATACATGGAATTAGCAGCTATACGGTGCAAAAATAACTAAAAATGTAAAAATGTCGCTATGAATGACGGCGCAATCAAACAATTGTGGTTGGATCGTCTTCCAGAACCTGTACGAGCGGTCGTGTCCATTTCTGATGTTGATTTGGATAAATATGCACAACAAGCAGATTTAATGCTGGAAAGTGGAAATTATCATTCTGTTTCCGAATTGCAAGCGAGTGTGAGAAATATAGGTGAGAACTCAACTGTGCCTTCTTCCTTCGATATCAGACACTTAGTCAATGCGGTAGAAGAACTTAGAAAGCAGCTACGAGAGAACAAAGGATTGTTATGGTTGAGCAGGATGTTATGTTATGTTATTATTATGTTATGTTAGGATATGCGTGCAGTAAGATCACCAATTGATGTTTGAGTCCTGAAAGGATTCAAGGATGGCCTATCGACCAGCGTAAGGAAACGACTTATCAGTATAGAGGAAAGTATTGCTAAGCCCTTCAGCCGCTTATTGTCCTTTCAGCAAATAATGCCGCACAGCACACGATTCAAATAAAAGACGTAACCTTGTCTTAAGTTAAATTGAATCTGTTTTTATTGTAAAAACATGGGTATTTATATTTATTCTAGCTTATTTACTAAACAATTATTATTTACTTCTATTTAATTAGAGTAACCAATCAATGCATATATTTTACAAATATAATAAATACTCTTTTAACGTATTACAATTATACGTCATGTACTATTTTCTAAAAGTTAAATGTACCTTCTGAAATTTAGGTTGGAATAGTGCAACGACCACACATGCTTATCATGTCTTATGTTACAAATGCATATTTGTAACGGAATGAGTCAAAATATATATTTTAAGTAATATGTAATGTAATAATATGTAATAATGATTAAAGTCAAAGCGTTAAACCGACAAAAGTGCATATTATAATTTATGACACATTTAATTTGTCACGAACGCGTCCGGCAAACCTGGTATCTAAATATCCAGTGTGTTACTACCATCATCGTTTTGGCGCAAGTGCACGGAAGTGTGCCAAGCCTTGCAGCTTCACAACCCCGGAAAAGTAAGTTCCGTTTCGTCACCGGCGGTTGGCCAATCAAACAGTTACTACAAATCCAGCCGATTGTATGTATTAGATCCCTCGACACAACTTAAATTCCTTGTTGACACAGGTGCAGATTTCTCAATTCTACCCGTTTCGATCTTCGACAGAACTAAGCCGACAGCATCTCCCAAACTATTGTATGCAGCAAATGGAACTTCAGTACACACATACGAAAATAAATTGATCACGTTGAATCTTGACCTGCGACGCAAACTCGATTGGGAGTTCGTCGTAGCCGATGTCTGTAAACCTATACTAGGACTTTACGACTTTCCACAACATTACGGCCTAGTGGTAGATTTGCAGCGCAAACGCCCCATTGACAGCGAAACCAACATGAAAGTTCATTGTGCAACAGCGTTCCATATACCAGAGCCGGTATTCGCAGTGAATTCAGATCACCCGAAAATTATTACAAGCGTTCAAAGATCTGACAATACCAACATCGTATAATAAGTCTGGGTCAGTAAGAACCACGGTGCAACATTACATAGTTACCACGGGACAACCAGTCTATGCACGTCCCAGGCAGCTCAATCCACAAACATTCGGGTTGAGCAATGCGGTTCAAACTTTTCAACGGTTCATGGACCAAGTGCCCAGCGATTTGAACTTCACAGTATGCTACATATATGACATCTGCGTCGCGTGTAAAAACGAAGCCGAACATATTTAGCACATAGCCACAGTGTTTCAGCGTTTACATAGTTTTTTTTCCATTGTGAATTTCTATTACCGTTTCATCCCTAACACAGCAGTAGTCCAAGGAGAGCTACAGAAGTTGATAATAGGAAATCGATAAAATGACAAAACGCCAATTTTGTGGACTGAATAAGCCGAATCAGCATTCATCAATTATAAAAAAAGCTCTTGCCGATGCCAGTTCACTTGTACACCCATCAGTAGAAGCGATTCTTATTCTAAACGTCGATGCGAGCAATATCGCGGTGGGAGCCGCATTGCATCACGTCCATGAAGGACAACTCGAACCACTTGGATTTCATTCAAAACGAGAGAGCTGCGCGCAATAAAACATTTTAAACACATGGTAGAAGGCAGAAACTGTACGGTGTTAACTGACTATCATTTTCTAACAAAATTCCAAAAAAGAGTCGCCCAGACTAGTCCGACATCTGGACTACATAGATCCATTCACTACAAACATCAGACAGTTTCCCGGAAAAGACAACAGCGTAGTCGATTTAATATCACGTATTGAAGACATACAGGGAGAAAAGCAGACTGATTTCGATCAACTAGCAAAAACCTAACGAAATGACCCAGAACTACAACGACAATTATCACAAAGTGAAACTTCACTTCAGCTAAATTGGGTACCCAGATTCACTTCATCGAATCTCAAATAGCCAGACACAACAAAACAGTACTCAGAAACTTTAAGGCACCTGATCGGCGATTTGCGGCAGCGCACGTTGATATTGTGGGACCATTACCACCATCAGACGGATACAGTTATTGCCTGACATATATAGATCGATTTACCCGATGGCCTGTTGTTATGCCCATTATGGATATTCATGCAGACACAATAGCTGCAACGTGCATCACGGGATAGGTTTCACACTATGACGTTCCTTTAGAGATCACCACAGATCAGGGCAAGGTTTTCGAATCCAAGCTTTTCGCTGAGCTCATGCAGGTGATTGGAGCAAAACATCTACGTACAAGTGATCGACATCCACAATCAAATGGAATTCTGGAATGATTCCAAAAAACATTGAAAGCTATACTGAAATGTAGACTAAACCAAAGCTAGATATACGAATTACCACTGGTATTGCTAGCTTTACGAATCGCGCACAAAGACGACACCCAAGTTAGTCGAGCCGTATATGTATATGTCCTTAAACTTTCGGGAAAATTCTTTGAAAAGACTTCCCGCGACGGACATGTGTCCGAATTCGCAAAGTTTCTAAAGGAAACCATGAATCAATTACGTCCAGTTCCAGGTTCAAACCATGCGAAAACAAAAACGTTGGTACAGCTAGACTTGCAGACGTACTCACATGAATTTTTGAGGGATGATAATGTGCGACCACCCTTGAAACCACCTTATGACGAACCATTCAAAGTGATATGACGAGATCGTAAGCTTATTACCGTTTTGATCAAAGACCGACCTGTCCAAGCATCGACAGAGTAAAGGCAGCTTACTTGTTGAGTAAAGAAACCGAACCAACCATGTAGTTGCCGCGATCTAGAACATTTCAATCAAACCCAGATGCACAACCAATACAAGCATGTCAACAGAAGCTCAACCCTGGCCGCAGTGCCTCCAGCGGCAGAGTCATTCGTCTACCTGCCAGATTCACGACATAAAATCAGTTGCATATAACGTGACATCTCTTTTACTCAGCCACTGGTGGGGGAGTGATGTGACGACCAATATGGCAATATTCGACCCTAAACACAAAAACACACAAGCAGCACAAAAATAACACAAAAACGACACTAAAAGACACAAAAATAGACAACAGGAAGAAGAGTGGCATCATACGAAGAAGAATACGTAAAACGAAGACAAGTGGCAGTAGTATTTCATATATACACATTTTTATTTAATTTATAAATAATAAACACACGAGTGTTCCACAACTCTATTGATGTTTGTGCATTACTTTGCGATATGTCCATAATTTACATTGTATAAGATTTAGGAAGTATAGCCAAACTTTTAAGATTTTCTCTTCTGAAACTTTGTAAACGCAGGGAGCGAAAATACTTGCTTTGGTACTATTTAGATTGTTAAGAAGTTCGCATTTAATGTTGCCTTCTTAACGAAAAGTACAAGAGCAGCATCATAAAGAACTAAAATTGAGATGATGTCATTATGTTCCAAGCTTTTTGAATAGCAAAACATGAATACTGGGAAAGTGGTTTAATTTCATTTTCGGATACAGACACGGGTTTGGTATATTGGTTGTATTCCAAATCAATAACGACTCGGCAACAAACATGAATAAATTTTATCATCGAAAGTTTAGCTTACAAGAAGAAGGATTCAGTTAGGCTTATTGGCCCATTGTGTTACTTTAAGCCTTGGCTTAAAAACTGCCTTGAATCTTTGACAAAACCTAAAATGTTCTTAAGGGAAAATTCTTAGAGCTGGCCACGATCCTAAAAAAAATAAGTCTCTAGCATAGTGACAAAGCAGATGTGAGGCACCTTCTCACAACTGCAAGAGGAATGATTAAACGGGAGATTCAATTTTCTAGCATGATTCACTAAACGGCTGTAACCGCTGCACAAACTTACTGCAGTACCAATATATTTACAGGGCAGAAGGTAAATTTTTTAATAGAACGCGGCCAACTTATATTCAGATGCCTACACCACTACGTATTTTTGAGCTGTCAGTAAATATGGTTAAACCCTCGACAGCCAAGTGTTTTAGAGGGAAAATCGTTTTATTTCCATTTAGAGGGAAAATCGACAAATATATATAACTAGATTATAAATAAAATTATTATAAAATTAAACACACAGTTATTAGTAATTAGATCTCTTATGCGGTCTAAAAATGTTCTTGCTTACTGTAATTACATATTTTGAAAATAAAACAAAAAAAGTTAAAAAAATGAAAGTTTTTTGTTTATGTTTTTGTTTTTAGTTTTTTGTTTAAAGTTTTTTGTTTAGCTATTAATAAACATACTTATTAATTAGATATTGTAAAGTAATTTAGTTGAAAATGATCTTAATGATTCTATAGAGTACAGAGTAATCAAAAAGACATACCATTTCGTTTCACATAACTGTCAATAAATGCTAAGCAGGTCACTGATTCTGCGGAAGACGTGTCAATGCTTGATATTGATGATGATCTTGATCGTGAAAAAGACCCATCTATTTTATCTATAAAGGAAACATAATAACAATAAATTTTTAAAGTCTTTATGGCATAAATGTGTTTTACTTATGTATTTATTTATATACAGAATTATTTTTTATGTTGGAATGTAAACTACATGAATGTAATGAGATATATGTTTTCAAAGATATATAAAATTTGGCCAGTTATAAATTGATCACATTATGTTTTACATTACATATTTCAGTATAAATCCCAATCTTTTGTAAGCATGTTGAAAACAGACAATGCAAAATAAGATTAACAATGATCGAAGTGCTGTCAAATACCTTGTTTTGATGCGTCACAAGATTTTCATATATAAACATACATATTTACAAATATTTTTATGATATTTTATGAAAACTATTATTAAAAATTACAAAAACCAAATAAACCAAAAATTTAACAAAAACCCACCGAAAATTTTTTAAAAAGTTCTAATATGAAGTTATAAATTTCAAAAACCAAATTTAAAAAAATAATTTTAGCAACTCACTGGAAATTGTATATTTCCAAAAATCAAACATATTAGACCAATTTATTGTCTTGGCAATTCTGCATTGCGGCTGCTTATTCGTTCAATGGTTTCAAGTAAATTGAATAAAATTAGCCACTTGTACTGTGGTTTCATATGTCATTCTTAGAAGAAGCAATTATCTTTTTACAATATGCCTACAAAAGATGACGCCTATCGTTCTCTTCATATTAAATATATTCGACTTAGCTCATCTTAAGCCTTCTGCTCAAATAGTACAAAAAAATTTTTTTTCTCCCTGTGTTAACAATTACAATTTTGAATTCAACAATAAACGTTTAATGTTAATAGTTTTTTTACAGTGAACGTAAAATCAAGCTAAAGCAGGGTTTTTTTCAACAACACTATTGCACCAATATGTTTTCAAGGCTGAAAATTGCATACGAGATATTATTTGCAGAGTAATTGGAGTCCTCTCATTGCCAAACATTTGCTTCGCAGTGCACTGTATTTTGGCAAATAGTTAGGCACATCACATTTTTGGGTTGTATAAAATACTAAGTTTCATAGCAAAATATTATAACAAAACTATTTTAGAGATTTTTAAATCTTTCATGTATAATATATTCGAGTAATGCACTATTATGAAGGACGAGAACGAATGAAACAAGTTCATAATTGTGAAAATAGTAACTGCACCCAAAATATTAGGCGAAATTTTTGATTTAAAATACGCAGGCTTATGATTTGGCAAATAATTTTTTTAGTGTATTAATATTATTACTGAAATCATTAATATATAAATTGTCCAATAGTTACGCATGTGTTTTTTGAACAATACAATAATTTAGCGATTATTAGAGAGTTTTATTTCGTTGCAGAAAGAAAGATATTGGAAAAGGCCTTCGGTAATCAGACTATATCATAAAAATATGTTTACTAGTGATATAGTTAAACAATTCAAAGAAGGCAGACCAAAGTTTGAAAACAAAAATCGCTCTGACGGGCCATTAATATTAAATTACTATGAACGCATCAATCAAACTAAAGATTTGCTGTTCAACATTCGTCAATTGACAATTGAAGACTTTGTTAATTCTATTTAAATTTTATTTAAATTACTCAAAAGCATTTTGAGAGGTGTGCTCTGCCTGAAATCTAGTTTGGTTCCAAAAACACTCAATTTTTTTTAAAAACAATTAGTCTATTGAAAAACACTTTCTGACAATTGGTATAACTAGAAATGCTTAACTGAGGATTAGACTTGGATCGATGCATACGACCGACAAACAACAGATCGATTATCGGATCAACCGTATAAAAGTAAGCCAAGACCGAAAACAACTGCCCCATAACAGTTTGGTGACAATTATTGCATTAAATCTGAAATTAAGACAATATGCTCTCTGCAATATTTTTTTGACGTATCATAAACGTTTGACATGGTGAGGTATAAAAGTTTGTCTCAAAAATTAAAAACAATGCTACCGAAATAATAACGTGAAATCTTTTCATCATATCTTTAAAATCAATACTTTCAGATCAAAGCTGAAAATATTTACCCTAGTTTTTAAAATAAAAATAGTAGTGTGCCACTATTAAATGATTGATTGAAAAAAAGCTATGAAGAACCATGAGTTTGAAGCTATTGTTAGACATTATTTATAACATGTTCAAAGTCCTGTGCCAGCAGTGGCAGCAGGTTTGAAGCACTTTTCCCGTGTGTTGAATGGTTTATATTTTAAATTTCGGCGCCTTACAAAGGATGTGTTATGATGTATATGTTAAGTTAGCAGCTTAATGCATATGTCATCATGTAATTTTTCAAAAAAAGTGCACAAATGCACTAAACTCCGCTTGAGCACTTGCTATTAGTTTTTATAATCAAAGCGTGGAAGATTGTAATGAATTACAGAGACAACAGCACTTAATCTTTACTGATTGTTACATTTATTTTAAACTTCTGCTACTTTTAATATTTTTAATATAGAGACAAATTAAAAAGATTGACATGACTCTCAAAGTCGACAAATAACAAAAATAACGGAATTATTATTTTACAGAGTGTTAATAAAGACACGGAAAGTATTTATGTGTTCCACACATGAGAAACCATATTAAAATCCATTATGCTCTATTCATAGTTGATAGTTGAGAACACGGTTGCCACTTGAAAATTTTTTTCTGTACCAAAATTGGTTTAAAAAGGTACCATTCCTGTAAAAAAAGGTCCAAAATTTTTCTATTGTCTTTTTATAAGAAAATACAATTTATATAAAATGTACAAAAAGTATAAAACAATACAAGTTACATTTATAAAAAAAATTAATTGAAAATATCCACAATAAAGTTGGGTCGCCGAAAATGTACCATTTTTTGAACATGAGTACCAGAGTACCAAACGGAAAAAAAAGTACCAATTTTGGTACTAAAGTACCATAAGTGGCAACCGTGGTTGAGAATACGTACGATGTGATTAAAAAAAATACAGAGAACAATTTTCGTGGATATCATTATTTCGCCAGATATTCTGCAAGATAAGCTTACTGGTCACTTCTACACCATATTTCATTAATTCAGATAAAATAACATCAAATCTATCGGTCTCATGATGCTTCATATTTTTAATTATTTCAACTTATTCAATTTTTATTGGCGTATCTATATTTCTCCCAGACATAAGGTTTTTAGTGTAATTGTCAGCTTCACTAATGATCTTAGGGTCATTTTCAACGAAAATAACTACGTATGTTTTTGTTAATAAGTTACCTTGTTCGTAAGAACAGTTACAGTTAAGAAGTCTGTTTTTGATAAATATGCACTGCACAAATCATTTCTATCAGCAACTTTTCTTATTTAAATTCATGCAAATCTAGTATTAAGTATGAACTTATAAATAAAATTTGAGTTTTCTGAACTAAGAGTATATTTAAAGCAGCTACATTTTTTACATCTCTCAATGTTTCCTAATTATGTTATGAATGTGCCCTAACAATAAATTATAACACGATTTGTGCTACAAAGCTTCAGCTTTGTAGTTAAATCTAGATCTGTCTGACCGTATTTAATGTTATAAAATCTACTTTCAATAATGTTTGGAAACTCACGAATATGTTCCAATAAAACTTCTGGAATTAGATGACAAAACACACAATCGAAAAACTGTTATGTCGCCCATAGTCCGCCGATATCTGAGCTAAATCCATTTAACAACACTGACAATATTTTGTCTACTAGTCACAATGGACAGATTGTTCGATTACGTTTTTACATGATCAAATTCATTTTGGCGCAGATATCTAACATCTACGTTTTTCTGTTAAATACACTCTACTTAATATACATTGAACATAAGTTATTTATCATTTCCACTGCTAAAAGTAAAAAGTTCGACTTTAAACTTTTTAATTAGCTCGCACTCTAATCTCCGTTCGTACGCGTGACGTCCTACGGAATAATTAAACGATTCCACTGAGCACTTAAAATCACTTCAAAGATCAGAGCCCATCAAAGATAAAGACAGTTCGACAAAAATGTTGTACTGTATTGCTCGCTGAAATATTGAAAATACCTGCCAAAAAATACTCTCGAATCTGAATTTGCGCAGAAGCTTCGAATATGAATGGATCAATTATGATTAAAGTTATTATTTATGAGAAAACTCATTCACGTTAGCGTGAAACATTTTTTAGTCAACCACTCAACCATCAGTAAAATTAGCATGAATATTGTATACTGATATACAGTATGCACTAAAACTTTTACTTAAGATGTCGACTCAAGAATATAACTTAAAAATATCAAGCAACAATAATGTAATGTAACATTACTTAAACGGTTAATTTCGTTAATTGATTATTAAATTAGCTTTGTGTGGACTTTAAATTTTGGTACACATCCCAGTTTTGATATTATGGTTTTAGAAAGTATTTCGTTATTTCAAGCTACTAAAGTCAATCCAAATTTCAGCTTACGAAAAATATTAGGTAATCTACTAAGTACTAATACGATTCTACATGAAAAATATATAGCATTTATTTAAAAATTCTGGTTACTTTTTGAGCAGAAGGTAGATTAAATTAAGTTTAGGTTCTATGGTTTGGAAAACGGAATCATAAGACCATAAGATCCCGTTACTGATCGTTGCAATATACTGTTATGTCGATTTTAAATATACTAAATTATACACAAAAAATTAATAAAGAAAAATTACCATTTTCATATTCTACATTTATATTTTCGGATATATTTATGTATGCGTTTTTTGATGTTAATATATTGCTTCACAGTTTTCAAAATTTAGAACCAAACATATAAACATCTAAATTTATTAAAATAAAATATTGCAAATATTTTTTAACTATACTTATATAACGGATGATGATTTATAAAAATTCAATACTTCTCTTGTTGAGTACGCTCAGCACGAAAATTATACAAATAATTTCCCTTTACATGGCAAGTGTTGCTTCATAAAACTTGCTACGTGATTTACGCGCTTTGGTCGCATTACTCCAATTTTAAGGC